TCCTACTGTGACTGTAGAGTCATCTGTCTTTTCAGTTTTGTTAGAGTCTGGTTTATGTAATTTAGGGCTCTTTCATTGGGTACATGGATATTTATTACTATGTTCTCTTGTTCAATTGATCCTTTAACACACCTATGGTTTTTAAAGGCTTATTTTGAACATAAGCAAAGCATAGTTTTCTTTATCAGTGGATTCATTTTAGTTAATAGCAAAGAAGGATGAACTGATGTTTTAGAAGTAGATGAAAAAAATATGGGATTCCTGAGTTTCCTCTCAAAGTTGTGGCAACACTTAGAATACAATGTTTCACAAATTTCTTAATTATTTTCTCCTTTCTGATTAAAAGTGCTACTTAATATTCAGCTTTCATGGCCTTTGAAGATTCCTGTTAATCCAGTACTGTCCAGTCTTAAACTGCAGAGAATTGTGCTTTGCAGAACACTGTACTTTATTATTATTATTATTAATTGTGATTTGGGTGAAGATTTACAGAGCAAATTCACTTTCCACACAGCAGTTTACATATACTTTGTCTCATGACATTGACCACAGTTTACCACAATGCAACAACTCCCCTCCCACTTCCTCCCCATAGTTACCTCTTCCCTGTGTCCATCCTCCATGAACTCCTGCCCCCTGAGCTGTCTCCCTGTGCATAAGAAGCCCTTCTTTCTCCCATGATTGTTCTCTCCAAGGAGAGTATCTACTTGAGGTAAATGTTCAACTCATATACCTGTCTTTTGTTTGTCTGGAAGCCACAGGTGTGGGTTTAATTCCAGACCTGAAGGGCAGTTAGGGGCCATAGTCTCAGTGGTTCCACCAGGCTCTATCAGACCAGCAAACCTGCTCCCCCCCTTTTTATTCCTCCAAATGATTTTGAGTTTTGTTCCACATTGTTCTCCCTCTCCATCAAGGATCTCCTACATAGATCCCCTTCCAAGTGGATGACAGTGGTAGCTGGGCACCATCTAGTTCTTCTGGTCTCATAGTTGTATAGGTTGCAGATTGGATGGTGTACCAGTCACTAGGACTAATTGTTTCCATGAATTTTGGTTTTCTTCATTCTTCTTTGCTCTGGATGAGGAGAGACCCATCGTTGCATCTAGATGGCAGCTTGCTAGCTTTTAAGATCCCAGTCGCTACTCACCAAAGTAGAGGGTGGAACAATGTTTTGTATAGTATGTTATGCCAATTGAGCTTGATGTCCCCTGCGACTATGTTCCCAAGCCCACAGGTTCAACTACTCGGTTCCTCTGGGTAGCTGACTGTGACCAAGCAGTGACTACAACCTTGCCCCTTGTCAGCTCTACTATACACCTGGGAATTCTGATCATTCACATAAACTTATAGGACCATTGACAGAACACTGTACTTTTTTTTAATGGCATGAATTTAACAATATTTGGCATTGTGTCCCTGATCAACATTTTCAGATAACTCATGTGAAGAAGTTGACCCTATTTTCTGTACCATAATGTGAATATATACTTGATAAATACCTAAAAAATTTTGTCTGCCATTGTTAGCTACCTCAATGGAGAAAACTGAAAAACAAGGAGTACAGATAGATGATGGAAGCATCTGGTCCCTCTTGCCACGTGATGAATGATTTCATTGGCAACAGTTGGGTGGCAGGCATTCAGTTATGCTTAAGCCCCAGCAAATGAAATCTTTTTAAATTTTCTTTTTATATACCTTCTTGTTGCCCCAAACCATTTAATGGTGTTACATAGTGCCTAAGGCACTTGACTGCTAACCAGAAGGCTGGTGGTTCAAACCCGCCAGCTACTCCTCAGAAGGAAGGTTGGGCAATCCTACTTCTGTAGTGATCGGAAACCCAAGGAGGGGTCGCTATGAGTCAGGGCCAACTCGACAGCACATAACAACAGCAGTCAAATCAAAATGATCTTACTTGCATAGTCCTATGATTCTAGCTTGCAGAGTCAAGATGAACTCTAACTCATGGGATGTACAAAATGAAAAATGTATATAAGCAAGCTTTTCAGGGCCCAAAACCTCCTACTGAACAAATATTAAAAAACAAAACAAACAACAACAACAAAAACTCTAAACAATGTAACTGTACTGAATAATGAAAGAAACAGCAGTGTAAATGGCACCATATTCACAATTAACATCTCTTGTGGCAATCCAACCTTTCACACAACCAAACCCAAATGCAACCACTGCTGTGGAGTCGGATCTGACTTTTCTTGCTCTATCGTCTTTGTATTCCCACCAGCCAAGGAGTGCTTTCCACTTTACTTCCTATATTATGAAAAATTAAGCATTTTTTTTTATCTTAAAAAATCACAACACTGAATATTACTTTATAAACTATAACCCTCCCCACACCCTGCAAAGCTGACATAATTTGTGGTGGGAGGGAAAAGAATACTTTTCTCTCCTATTCAATTCCTAAAAATCAGGACCTAGTTCTTAAGTCTATAACAACCTCAATAGTCATGCTCCCTAAAACTCAAAAGCTTAATCACCTCCAAAGTAGACAAACTGTGTTGAATTGGAGAGAATTTTCTGCAAACAGAACTGCGTGGTGAGATAATGGCTACACACTCACTCACTGCCATCGAGTTGATTCTGACTCATAGCAACCCCTTCTTGCGTTTCTGAGACAGTATCTCTACAGACGTAGATTGCTCAGTCTTCCTTCCGAGGAGTGGCTGGTGGGTTTGAACTGACAGTCTTCTGGTTAGCAATCAAATGTGTTAGGCAGTACACCACCAGAGCTCCCATAATGGCTACTATAACACATTAAGTAACCCATTATATAAAAATTGTTCCACGTAACGTTAACTGTTATTATGAGTATTTTGTTCAGTGAAATTCTACATTATGCTTCTATAATGTGTATGTTTACCAGTGAAAGGAAGTGAGAAAATATAGACCATAAAAAGACTGAAAGAGAGGTGGCATAGTGGATAAGATATTTGATGGCTAACCGGAAGATCAGTAGTTCAATCCCACCAGCTGCTCCATGGAAGGAGGATGGAGCAATCTACTTCTGTAAAGATCTACAGCCTCAGAAACTCAGTGGGGGTCACTGTGAGTTGGAAATGAGTCAATGGCAGTGAGGGTTTTTTTTTTTTTTTAACACAAAATACATATTTTCACTTCTTCAATTCCTATTATTTGGCCACACCATCTACCTAGTTCTAGTCACAGACAGACAAACTCACTGCCATCAAGTCGATCCCGACTCACAGCGACTTCTCCTTGGGTTTCTGAAGCAGTATCACTACAGAAGTAGATTGCCCAGTCTTCCTTCTGAGGAGTGGCTACTGGGTTTGAATTGCCAGCCTTCTAGTTAGCAGTCAAATGCCTTAGGCATATGCTTGAAAATAAGAATGCACTTTTATTAAATATTCTATATTTCTTGGTTTTAGTTTATTTACATTTACTGATGTGTTCTGTAAGGAGCTCTGGTAGCACAGTACTTAAGGTATCTGACTGCTAACCGGAAAGTTGATGGGTCAAACCCACCAGCCACTCAGCACAAGCAAGACAGAGCAATTTATTTCTGTAAAGATTTACCACCTTGCAAACCCAATGGGGGTCGCTATAAGTTGCTATGAGTTGGAGACCAGGAGGCAAGCTGGCAGTGGTTCGGAACAGCTAAAAGAGACCAGGAAGCAAGTTGGCAGGGTTTGGAACAGCTAAGGGAGACCAGGAAGTGAGTGGAGTGGTTTGGAACAGCTAAGGGAGATAAACTTATCTGTCAGGTTTTTGTACTGAGGTGGCTTGCGTGTTACTGTGAGGCTGGAGGCTATGCCACCAGTGTTTCAAATGCCAGCAGGGTTACCCATGGTGGACACGTTTCAGCAGAGCTTCCAGACTAGGACAGACTCAGAAGAAGGAGGAAGCCATCCACTTCTCAAAGAATTGAAAACCTTATGAATAGCTGTGGAACACTGTCTATTACTGGAAAACTTTACAAATAGCCCTGAAACATTGTCCAATATAGTGCTGGAAGATGAGCCCCTCAGGTTGGATGACACTCAATATATGACTGGGGAAGAGCTGCCTCCTCAGAGTAGAGCCGAACTTAATGATGTGGATAGAGTAAAGCTTTTGGGACCTCCATTTGCTGATGTGGCATGACTCTATATGAGAATAAACAGCTGCAAACATCCATTAATAATCAGAACACGGAATGTATGAAGTGTGAATCTAGGAAGATTAGAAGTTGTCAAAAATGAAATGGAATGCATAAAGATTGATATCTTAGGCATTAGTGAGCTGAAATGGACTGGTTTTGGTAATTTTGAATCAGACAACCATATGATCTACTATGCTGGAAATGACAAATTGAAGAGAAATGGTGTGGCATTCATCATCACAAAGAATGTTTCAAGATCTATCCTGAAGTACAATGCCGTCAGTGATAGGATAATATTCATATGCCTACAAGGAAGACCAGTTAATACTTCTGTGATTCAAATGTACGCACCAACCACCAAAGCCAAAGATGAGGAAGTTGAAGGTTTTTACCAACTTCTGCAGTCTAAAATTGACCAAATGTGCAATCAAGATTTGTTCATTATTACTGGTGATTAGAATGCAAAAGTTGGAAACAAGAATCACCGGTTAGTTGGAAAATATGGCTTTGGTATAAATAAAGCTGGAACTAGAATGATAGAATTTTGCAAGACCAACAACTAATTCATTGCAAATATCATTTTTCAACAACACAAACAGCGGCAATACACACGGACTTCACCAGATGGAGTACACAGGAATCAGACTGACTATATCTGTGGCAAGAGGCAATGGAAAAGCTCAGTATCTTCAGCCAAAACAAGGCCAGAAGCTGATTGTGGAACAGCTATCAACTGCTCATATGCAATGTCAATTTGAAGTTGAAGACAATTAAAACAAATCCATGAAAGCCAAAATATGACCTTGATTATATCCCTCCTGAATTTAGAGACCATCTAAAGAATAGCTTTGATGCATTGAATATCAATGACCGAAAACCAGAGGAATTGTGAGATGACAACAAGAACATTATCCATGAAGAAAGCAAAAGGTCATTAAAAAGACAAGAAAGGAAGAAAAGACCAAAATAGATGTCAGAAGAGGCTCTGAAACTTGTCCTTGAGCGGAGAGTAGCTAAAGCAAATGGAAGAAATGACAAGATAAAAGAACTGAACAGAAGATTTCAAAGAGCAGTTCGAGAAGACAGAGTCAGTTATTATAATGAAATGTGCAAAGACCTGGAGTTAGAAAACGAAATGGGAAGAACACACTCAGCATTTCTCAAGCTGAAAGAACTGAAGAAAAAAATTAAGCCTCGAGTTGCAATATTGAAAGATTCTATGTGCGATATATTGAATGATGCAGAAAACATCAAAAGAAAATGGATGGAATATACAGAGTCACTGTACCAAAAAGAATTGGTCAATGTTCATCCATCAGGAAGTGGCATATGATCTAGAACCAATGGTAATGAAGGAAGAAGTCAAAGCTGCAATGAAAGAATTGGTGAAGAACAAGGCTCCGGGAATTGATGGCATACCGATTGAGATATTTCAACAAACAGATGCCCCATTAGAGGCACTCACTCAGTTATGCCAAGAGATTTGGAAGACAGCTACCTGGCCAACTGACTGGAAGAGATCCATATTTGTATCCCTCCAAAGCAAGGTGATCCCACAGAATATAGAAAGTATCGAATAATCTTTTATATCACATGCAAGTAAAATATTACTGAAGATAATTTAAAATGGTTGCAGCAGCAGTATATTGACAGAGAACTTCAAGAAATGTAAGCTGGATTCAGAAGAGGACATGGAACAAGGGATATCATTGCTGATGTCAGATGGATCTTGGCTCAAAGAAAAGAATACCTGAAAGATGTTTACTTGTGTTTTATTGACTATGCAAAAGCATTTGATTGTGTGAATCATAATGAACTAGGAATAACATTGAGAAAAATGGGAATTCCAGAATATTTAATTGTGCTCATGAGGAACCTGTACATAGACCAGGAGGCTGCCATTTGAACAGAACAAGGGGATACTGCATGCTTTAAAATCAGGAAGGAAGTCTGCCAGGGTTGTATCCTTTCACCATACTTATTCAGCATACTGTATGCTGAGCAAATAATCTGAGAGGCCGGAATATATGAAGAAGAACATGGCATCAGGATTGGTGGAAAGCTCATTAACAACCTGTGATATGCAGATGACACAACTTTGCTTGCTGAAAATGAGGATGACTTGAAGCACTTACTGATGAAGATTGAAGGCTATAGTCTACAGTATGGATTACACCTCAACATAAAGAAAACAAAAATCCTCACAACTGGACCAACAAGCAGCATCATGATAAATGGAGAAAAGACTGAAATTGTCAAAGACTTCAAATTACTTGGTTCTACAATGAACACCAATGGAAGGAGCAGTCAAGACATCAGATAATGTATTGCATTGGACAAATATGCTGCAAAAAACCTCTTTCAAGTGATGAAGAGCAAAGATGTCTCCTTGAAGACTAAGGTGCACCTAACCCAAGCCATGATATTTTCAGTCACCTCATATGCATGTGAGAGCTGGACAATGAATAAGGAAGACTGAAGAAGAGTTGATGCTTTTGAATTGTGGTGTTGTGAAGAATGCTGAAAGTACCACGGACTGCTAAAAGAATAAATCTGTCCTGGAAGAAGTGCAGCCAGAATACTCCTTGGAAGCGAGAATGGGCAGACTTCATCTCACCTACTTTGGTCATGTTGTCAGAAGGGACCATTCCCTGGAGAAGGATATCATGTTTGGTAAAGCAGATGGTCAACGAAAAAGGGGAAGACCTTCAACAAGATGGATTGACACAGTGGCTGTGATGATGGGCTCAGGTATAGCAAGGATCATGAGCCTGGCACAGGACTGGGGAGTGTTTTGTTCTGTTGTGCATAGGGTCGCTGTGAGTCAGAGACAACTGGACAGCACCTAACAACAATAACAACATGAGTCAGAATCAGGTTGATGGCAGTGAGTGGGTTTGGTTTTTGGTTTTTGATGTGCTCTGTAACTAACCTCTCAAATTTCAAATGAGTGTTTTTTGGCTTCCCCAGCTGAAGAGACATCTCTTTTATCTACATTGCTTTTCAATTATATTTTCAATTTTAGAAATGCTTCCAGAAAATTCTATCAGAAGAATAGAAAGTTCTCTTCCTTAGCTTGGTCTACTAAAAACCAGAAGCATAAGACATAATTTCTTTCCTGGGCAAATTTGCTTATTAATTGAAGAAAAGTGTGGTGCTAGCCTTTGTAAATGTCAGATTAGTTTGATGGAGGTAGCAGTGATTTGTAGTTAGAGTTGTGTCTTAAATGTGGCACTTAGTAATAGTTACTGTAAAATGAGGGGTTATAATATCTAACATAGATATCTGTGGGAGGGTGGTCTGTGTTTGTGTTTTGACTGCAATCCAGAATAATAAATACCATACTTTAATACACATACGTTTATGTAACTTAGGAGCTCTAGTGGTGCAGTGCCTAAGGCATTTGACTGCTAAGCAGATGGTTGGTGGTTCAAACCCACCAGCCGCTCCTTAGAAGGAAGATCAGGCAGTCTATTTCCATAAAGATTTATCACTTCGAAAACCCAATGGGGGGGGGGTCGCTATGAGTCAGAATCAACTTGATGGCAGTGAATTCGTTTTTGAGTTTGTATGTAACTTAAAACTTTCACAGAACAGTATTTACCCTTACTATGGTCTATCTCTTCTGGGCATGACCACCAATTTCCACTAATTGGTCAAAACTCAGTTTCAGAACCACTGCTGTAAGAGAACACAAGGAAATACATTTTATAAACTGTGAAACACTAAGAGATGTGACAGCTGCTACTGAATATCCAAGTTAAGACTTTTGTAGGCCTGAGGAGGAACTTCCTTTTGTATTGTTAGGGGTAAAATCTGCCCAGGTTTTTGATAAGGAAGACAGTATTCATGCTGATTATCACTGAGACAATTCCCAAAGGCTAGAAGATGAGGTAGTCATATCAGAATCCAAAGGAGGGAAGACATGTTAGTAGAAAGTCAAGTAAAAAAGCAAGCATCAATTTAATGCTTTATAGTCTATACATTATTTCACATACATGATCTCTTTAAATTATAATCCTAGAGAAAAAGTGAAGCTCTAAGAGGTGAGACCTGCCCAAGATTAGATAGTAAGTGGCACAGCCAGGTCATCTGATTCCAAATCCCTCCTTCCATGACAAAATATCACGAAAGTAATTAGGACGTTAGGCTTAAACTAATTCATCAGAGATGCTTATGTTCTCTGCCTTTCTCTAGAGGGAAAATAGATCTTACTGAAGGTGGAGAACCAATCTTGGACTTTGGGGTTTGGGGGGGCGGGGGTGTAACCAGTAGCTCTGACTAGTCCAGGACCCACACCTGGCATTTGGGTCTACAAATACCAGTCATCTATTTTGACACTGCTTGTGCTGTGAGGTCCCAAATGTCTATAAGCTATAACGCCCATGGCTTTTCCATTCCTAATTGTAAGGGTCTCAGAGTCTTAGTCAACTACAGATTCAGGACTCATACCAAAACCAAACCCACTGCCATTGCATTGATTCTGACTCATAGCAACCCTACAGGACAAAGCAGAATTGCTTCATAGGGTTTCCAAGGCTGTAAATCTTTATGGAAGCCTCATCTTTCTATCGTGGAGTGGCTGGTAGGTTTGAATTACTCACTTTTTGCTAGCAGCCCAGCCCTTTAACTGTGTCACGGGGGACCTTTCAGAACTCATACCAGGGAGAAATTAAATACTAGGACTGTTACCTCTTATACCTAGGTAGACTGAAGGAGAAAAACAACAGTGTTCTGCTTCCTGTGACCTGGTATCATGATGTCTTTGCTCAGCTCCATCTAGGGGAGCCAAGTGCACCAGCATTCATGGCTTTGTGTATCCTTTGTCCACAAATGCCCCATCTTCCTCCCCTTCTCAGAAAATGAGGTTCAACTAGCAAGTACCTGAGGTATTCACTTGAGTTGGTAGGAAGAAGAGGGTACACTTCCCAGCTCCCCTAGTTTACTCTAGACTTCCTCCCACCCCTCCTGCCCCTCCCCCATATTCCCTTCACATTTATCTCACCTTGTACTTCTGCACCACCTCCTCCAATGGCACCATGCTATGGTGTTTGTGGCTCCTGGATACTCAGCACACTACACAGATGGCCTCTCTGTCCACCTCACAGAAGAGTTTCAGGGCTTCCTGATGTTTGTAACAGATACCCTGATCATTTTCCCCGCTCCTCCAGTAAGGAGTGGGACACATCTGGGAATTATCTAAAGTTCCTCACACACTGGAGGCAGGTGAACTGCCACCGAGAGGTTGGGGGAGGAGGCAGACAGGCGTCAGGATACAGCTCTTCCTCCTCATAGTATTCTTCCAGTATCTTTTGTTCTCCTGGGTAGACATCAACTCTCAGGTCACGTCTCAAGCCACCTGGGTAACAGTCGCAATCTTCATCTTCCTCCCGGTCCCACACATAATCCATATGGTCCCAATTCCTTATGCCACCATCACCAACCCAGGGTTCATCTTCCTGGCCCTCGAAGTCCTCGTCGGCATTCCTCTGATCAAAACAAAACAAAACAAAACAAAAAAACCTCTCGAGTGAAGTTGTCCCATCCACAATGGCCCCCACTGCGTCGTCCTCCTCTTCTTCCCTTCCATCTTCTTCCTCGTCTCTGTCCTCATCCTTCCCTTCCCACAGCTGGATCACAAACCCTTGGCAGAAATTGTGCCCACAGCCCATAGACAAACGATCCTTGAAATAATCCAGGCAGATAGCGCACCCTGCTGCTTCCTGAAGGGTCTCCATGGAGTTGGTAGTGGCACAGCCAGCCATTTTAATGCATTGCGGGCGTAACTGCGTAAGCTCAGAGCTGAGAAGAGGGGACGCGTCTGCAGACCAGCCTCCTGGTCTCGTTGACGACCCAAGACTGTCCTCGACCCTGCCCTATGACCTCAGGCCTCTCTCAGGCAAAGGCGCTAGGTCCGGAACCCTGTAAGGTCGGAGGGGGCGGAACCAGGCGGCAGCCCCACTCGCCTTTGACATTCAGCACGCAAATGCAGACCCCGCAGCATTTCTCTCCTGTCTCGGGGTTTGCCGGATACTGCGCGTCCTCCTCTGAAGTCAGCTGCTTGGGAGGCAACGGGAAGTTACAAAAGGTGTTCCAGCACATACCAGGGAGGGGGCGACTGGGTAGGCGGAGGACCACATCTCTATGCATCCTGAGGATATTCGGCGGCCGGGAGCGCTGGCTGCCAACCCAGCCTCCCTAAGTAGGAAGGATTAGTGGGAAGGGGCGCAGGCGAAAAGGAATCAGTTTAAACCATTCTTACGTTCTGTATCCAGCCACAAAAGGCCCGGCGGCTGCTCAGCCGAGACGGTGGCGGGCAACAGTGAGGAATACCGTGGAGATCAGGCGCTTTTGCGCATTTATGGCTCTTCTAAACTGAGGGTTTGGGGACGGAGGACTCTTACAGCCGAGGTCGTGGGGGTGTAGTTGTTGTTGTTAGGTGAAGTCCAGTTGACTCCGACTCGTAGCGACCCTACGTACAACAGAAGGAAACACTGCCCAGCCCTGCGCCATTCTCACAGTCCTTGCTATGCTTGAGCCCATCCATGGTTGCAGCCAGTCAATCCATCTAGTTGAGAGTCTTCCCCTTTTTCATTGACCCTGTATTTACCAAGCACGGTATCTTTCGCCAGGTACTGGTCCCTTTTGACAGCATGACCAAGGTAGGTGAGAAGAATCTGACATTCTCGCTTCTAAGGAAGCTGCACTTCTTGGACAGATTTGTTCACTTGGGGGCGTGGTCTGCAGTAAAGGGGCTGGACCTGCAGAATTGGGGAGAGGTGGGGCTGGGGGTGTGGCGCGGAAATGTGAAAAGATCTCGCGTGCTTTCAACTTCCAAAACCAATTCATCCCTCTCTTGCCATCTGCAGAGCCTCAGTCCCTCGACTTTAATTTGCTATATTCATCTCCACAATGAGGCAACCCTTCAAACCCCTCAAACTCAGTCTGCCCTACAGGGACTTCTGTAGATTTGTTCACCTTAATACACCACTCCTTGCATCAATCACTTACCCACCCTTTCAAATATAGAGAGCTCTGGTGGCGCAGTGCCTGGCCTATTTGACTAAAAAAAAAAAAAAAAAAACCGACTCACCGCCGTGCAGTCGGATCCGACTCATAGCTACCCCTCCTTGTGTTTCCCGGGCGGTATCTACGGAAGGAGATTGCCAAACTTTCCTTCCGAGGAGTGGCTGGTGGGTTTGAACCTCCAGCCGTCTGGTTAGCAGTCAAATGCCTTAGGAATTTGACTGCTAACCCGAAAGTTGACAATTCAAATCCACCAGCTGCTCTGTGGAAGGAAGATAGGGCAATCTACTTCCATAAAGAGTTACCACCTCGGAAACCCAATGGGGGTCGCTATGAGTCGGAATGGACTGGAAGGCAGTGAGTTTGGTTTGGTTTTTTATATATATTCCTGGTAACCAAAAAAGAAAGCTTCCTTCCGTATGTAAATCTTTCCTTGACTTTTTTGCAATAGTGGACACATACAATATTCACCCTTCTGTGATCAACTTATTTCACTCAGCGTAATTTCCACCAAGTTCATCCACATTGTGCAGTGTTTCACAGATTCTACGTTATTCTTTAGTGTTGCATAGTATCCCATTGTGTTTGTACCATAATATGGTTATCCATTCTTCTGTTGACGGGCGCTTAGGTTGTTTCCATCTCTGCTATTGTGAATAGTGCTGCGATGAACTTGGATGTGCATATATATCTATTTGTGTCCTGGCTTTCACTTATTTGGGATATATACCTAGTAATGGGGTTGCTGGATCAAATGGTATTTCTATTTGCAAGGTTTTAAGGAATTGCCATACCAATTTCCACAGTGGTTGTATCATTTTACAGTCCCACCAGCAGTGTATGACAGTCCCAATCTCTCCACATCCTTGCCAGAATTTGTTATTTTCTGGCTTGTTGAACTTTCCCCTCAGTGCTAGGGTGAGATGGTATCTCACTGTTTTGATTTGCACCTCTCTGATGCCTAAAGATCGTGAGCATTTCTTCATGTGTTTGTTGGCTGCCTGAATATCCTCTTTGGTGAAGTACTATTCATGTCTTCTGCCCATTTTTTAGTTGGACTGTTAATCTTTTTGTTGTTGAGGTGTTGGAATTTACTGTAAATTTTAGAGATAAGTCCCTTGTCAGGTATGTAGTTGCCAAATATTTTTTTTCCCAATCTCTAGGTTCTCGTTTTACTCTTGGAGAAATCTTTTGATGCACATAAGAATTTAATTTTTAGAAGGTCCCAACCATCTAGTTTATCTTCTGTTGTTTGTGCATTTTAGGTTATGCTTCATAGTCTATTTATGCCATAAATTAGGCTCCTAAGTTTGCCCCTGGGAGCTCTTGTGGCGTAGTGCCTAAGGCATTTGACTGCTAACCAGAATGCTGGTGGTTCAAATCCACCAACCACTCCTCGGAAGGAAGACTGGGCAATCTACTTCCGTAGAGATACCCCTTCAGAAACCCAAGGTGGGGTCGC